CGGGTACCCATTCCCACCTGGGTGAAGTGAGGAAAATTTGTGTATAGTGCCTTTCCCAAGGACACAACGTCGGGCCCCTGACGGGAACTACACTTGCTGTTACCTGCCGCCTGATGTTTGTCGATGGTGCTATGCTCTGATAGTTGAACTGGTTTCTAGAAATCGTCTCGAAATGCCAAAAGGTTCAAATGATGAGAGAAAGCACAAAAGTTACACCACAGTACTTTTATACCATTGACTGTGCATACTGACTCCTGGTTCTTATTGAGTACCTCAGCAATAGTTTTTCAAAAAAAATTAGCTGACCTATTTCGGTATTTGTTTGAGTTACCCTTAATGAGTGTGACATCATCGTTATTCTGTTGTTGGTTGGAGAATTCGATTCCGGGGAGGGGAGAATTTTTGTTTGAGTATGTCTTTTTTTCCTGCTGGGATGTTGTATCTTATTCAGCTTGGATTGGTGCTGACAGGTAGGGTAGGAAGCCCGCCTCCTAAATAATCTAAGTTGTGTCGATGCATGAACGCATAAAAACAGCAGAATTTACAAAAAAGTAAAGAGTTTCAATGTTGAAAGAATGACAGCCAATTGTCAAGATTGCAATTGATAGTAGATGTTCTGCCAGGATGTATGTTATTAGTACAGTATTCTGAACAACTGAGGATGACCTTGGCAGACAGGGTCAAAGTATCTTGTTTCCTAAATGGTTGTCATAGATAAATATGAATAATTTTGTGACCTCGAATGTTGCTTGTATGACTGATTTACTAGAGCCCAATTGGGGAATGGGCGCTAATGGCATCTACTTATTGTTATTACTATCATTATCATCATCATCATCATTTTTATTATTATCATTATTATTATTATTATATTGCCATTATTATTATTATTATTATTATTATTTAAGTACCTCGGAAGTATATTCACAGAGGATGGGCGACTGAACGGAGAAATTGAAACACGAGTACAAAAGGCCAATAATGTTAGTTACCAGCTTACTCCACTACTGAAACATCGTAACCTCCCTAGACAACAAAACTCAAAATGATCAACACCCAATTTTTCCCAATACTCACCTATCAATGCCAAACATGGACCACAAACAAGACATTAGAGTAAAGAATTACAACTTGTGAAATGCGATGCATTAAAAAAGCAGTAATCAAGACCAGACGAGACAAAACTAAAAGGGCGACCGAGAAAGACCTGGATAGATGGAGTCAGCGAAACATTAACAACTCATGGCTTCCCCCTGACTCAAGCTCTCCAGCTGGTGGCAGAGAGACGTCTCTTTCTTCCCGCGACACCCAAAAGAGTATAAGCGGCAGATAAAAGAAAGAAAGATTATTATTATAATTATTATTATGATTATTGCTATTATTATTATTATCGTTATTATTATCATAATACTATGAATTATTATCGTTATTATTATTGCAATACTGTTAATTATTATTACGAATTAGTTATTGTTATTGTTATCTAAATTGTGTTGGTGGGAGTGTAAAATTTTTTCTGTCAATCTATCATTGGTATCCGTGGTCTTTGTTCGCCAGCCCATCCAGACGGTGCCCCACGAGTGTGTGAAGCCCTTCAAGCTGACCATGGGCCCGCGGCTGGCACAGAGCCGCTGTGAGATCATGGAGACGCTCTACAACAAGTTTGGACTCAAGAAGTGAGTACCGGCCTCTGGTACCTGCCCCCTGCTCTAGTACCAGAACGTGTCGGAGAGTCCTAGTGTATCGGTACCTGCCCCCCCCCC